TCCGTATTATCGTATCGTGTGATACAGCCGAAGCTGGGAATATCAGACAGCATGTAGATGGCATATTATTCCTTTATTTATGTTGTTTTATATAATTACAAACCAGTACTTCGTGCACCTATCGGCCTGGAAGTAATGATGTCACAGTGGATGAGGTGAGTAAGCCACCTCTAAAGTATGCGCAACCTGACCAGAACATTCGACTCACAAACGGGCAGACTACAAATGAAAAAGGGCCAAATAAAAGGACTTCGACGACGCGTTCCCGAATGGTGGATGATAACTCAAACCCGATGTTTTTGGTTTGCTTGACTCCGGTGAATGAGAAATCAGGTTTGCTTAGTTGATGGAATGCTAGTCTTCAGCATACGAATTCCTTCGCAAAATCCATTGGTTTTTAGGCGTGATTCTGTCCAACAGGCTGTTGGTAAATTCGGATAGTCGTCTGACCAATGGTGAAAAGTCATTTTGGTCCGACTTGCCGTCAATCTTGATAATTACGAATCAGAGGGATCGGATGTTTAGAGGAAGTCCTCGGATTCTGGAAAACTCCTACACGAGTGCTTTCATTTTCACAGGCAGTACATCAGACGGAGGGAATGGGCATGTGACCAATTGGTTAACAGTTCTAGGCTACGAGCTCTGAACCAAGCAACTGCCTACCACTTTGCGGGACCAGTGAGTTGAATTCAGGTTGTGAATTTCATAAAGGAGACTACTCAAAAGGTTGCTGAAAACTTTTCGACAGCCCACGACCGGTTTCGTCCTCCTTGGGGCTCATCAGGTGGGTGCGGTCCCCGAGTTTCCGTCAACCTTATGTTCTACGTGAACCCAAATTGGACAGATTTCGACAAATACACTCATTTGCAAATCAATTTGGTTTTCACGGGAGACTCAAGTGAATCTCTTGTTTATAACCTGGTTATGGCTGTTTGTCTACATCCACTTGGTGACAAGATAAAAGTGTCTGTGTGATATCTACACGATCTGGGAATCCAACAATCAAACATAAACTCAAATCCACCAAACTGGTGGCGGATGCCTTGTTCAGGGGCAACGGCCAATCACAGGGTCACGTGAACGAACTCTTTACACCCACCTGATAAGTCTCAATAAAGACGAAAGCGTTCGTGCGGGGATCCGACCATACCTCGACATCACAGTTCTTCATAAAATTTATTTCCACTATTTTCTCCGTCACGTATCATGTTCCCGGCTGTGTAGAAATCATGAATTTCCAAAAATGAGTAAACGTGAGTAGAAAGTAATGGTGATATGCCACTTTAAAAGGGCGCGGCCTCGCCGAATCGCACTTAATATCCTTCGTTCCAGTTAGATGGACCTCTTCAAGCTTCCCAGATCTCAGTGATAAGAGTTATTGGGAATTCACAGAAACCCCAAATGCGTTGTGTAGTAACTCAAATGTCCCTTTCTGAAGATAAAGACAGTTGAACACAGATAAGGACTAGAAACACGAGTGGGTTCCTTTCAAAAGCATGTTAGAGCGAAGTCAAAACGGCAACTTTCTCCAAGAACCCAAGTAGGATTCTTCGCCCTAAGCGATGATGTTATTATCGATCATTCCATCAAGCAAAAGAATTTGCTCGGTCCTGATGATGATTGATGTTTGGAGAAGCTACCGCGTGGTATACTGAGTAGTGATCAAAACTGTCTAAAAATGCTCAAAAATATGGAAATCTTGAATAAAACTATCGGATTGTCCTGAGAAACTATACAGTTTGGTTGGTTTGTTGGAGCGAAGTAAGTGTTGAACAAAAAAGTGATAACTCTGGAAGAACGGGTACACAGATGAAAGAACCATTCAGACAGTCGACCGCTGCTGTTCATGTGAATAGTGCCAGAAAACGAATGAGATAGCTCCTGTGTCCCAAGTGGATTTCAAGATGACATCGCTAAGCAACTTCTTTCCGTAACAATGATTCCACATGGAGAGGTCACAGTTGCAGTCGGAATCCGGGGGAGGAGGTTTAATCTGGACTTGGTTGACACAACGGCGGCATTTGAACCTAGAATAAGAGGCAAAGACGGATAGAGATAAGTGAAGAAGTCAGGATGTCGTTACTGTGTGGATGAATATACGAAAAGAAGAAAGCAACTGGCTTCGATTTACTAGAACTCAAGATGGGTGTATAAGCAATACAAAGTTAACCAAAAGGTGGATGGACCATACTCATGCCATCCAAGCAGACAGGTAACTGGATGATTGCGACTACTTACAAGAGAACTACAAAACGCGAAGGCCACTACAGAGAAGGCGGTACCTTGCAGCCTATCCGCAATTTCCAGGTTAGCCACCTGTCGTAATTCGCCTTAGGTATGAAAGCATACGAAGGAGCAAACTTGCCTTTTCGACAATCTGAACAGCATAGATCATGATACGTCGCTGCCCTTCAAACCCAGTTTACATTTCAGCAATCTTCGAAGCGCCTTCCATCGGCAAAAGAAAGCGATTTTACTTTAGTTTATGAAGTATCTTACGCAGAACAACAATGGAGACCAAATCCAACTGTAACGGAATTATATGGTTCGAACAAGACGAACTAAATACAGGCTTCCTAATTCTGAGAACAATACACCAACTCTTATCCCACTTCCATCGAGTAAGTTAGCGGGAAATGTGGGCAGGCAAGTGCACATTGTGAGGAAACGCTTGCAAAGGTCAGAAAAACGTGTCCATTACTATTCTGGACGTAGTAGGAGTAAGTTGTGTAGGCCAGGCGAAGTTCAGATTACTCGGAAATGAACTATTGCACTGTGCTCTTTCCGACGATCAGTGTCATTTAAGGTGAAGGCGACGCGTTCGACTCTGAGTAGTAGACATTGTTGAGCATGACCAAATGACCAGTCATAAATCACACAATTTGAAGACTGAAATATTCTCTCTGTGCAGTAGTCGGGCTTCGGATTGACAAAATAAGTGCAAACGGAGATGTTTCTTGACAATCTTAAAACGTAGTAACCGTTTATGCCCGAGGTTCCTTTTATTCAGGCGGAAAACAAGGTTTCACGGACCGATATGATATAAATAAATTTCAAGATGGAGTGACTGCAATGAAATCGAATTTAGCCCCTCCTAGTGAATTCTTTCGAAAGAGATCATTCGCAAATCAGGCTGCTCCGGTCCGTCCCCGTGGGCCTGAAATGTATACTGTTTGGGAGAGAGAAATGCCAAACTCCAAACAAGGGTCGCGATGAAAAAAATGCGTGATTCAGGTTTTGTAACGGAGATAACCACTGGATTAACCAGTTCAGTCCTGAGATGGCAGGGGAACATGATCCTCATACATAGGGCATGTGCTTGCTACAATTGCTCTCCCAAACACAACGAGATCAAAAAGTGTTCCCGTCTGGGTGCGTTCTAAACGTTATTACAGAGTCCAGTAGAACTAAAACAGGAGAGTGCGTTTCTCACAGGTTAATTCCTCTGAAACGACACAGCGACAGAGGGGACGTAATCACGGACTTTATGTCAGTAGATACAGTACTCAACGAGATCAAAAGTGTTCCCGTCTGGGTGCGTTCTAAACGTTATTACAGAGTCCAGTAGAACTAAAACAGGAGAGTGCGTTTCTCACAGGTTAATTCCTCTGAAACGACACAGCGACAGAGGGGACGTAATCACGGACTTTATGTCAGTAGATACAGTACTCTCATGCAGGAACAATATCTAGGATATACCATCATTTTGTGTCCACATGGAAAATCTATTGAACTTCAGGACTGTGAGGTGTTTGCCAGGATTTCTTTTCGTCTGAAAAGAACGACTATTCTGACAGTGGTTTCAATGGTTCCGTCACGAAGCGCTCATCCATCGACTTACTCCCAGCAAATATCACCTCACAGTTCATTTTTGATCGAATACTTCAAGTGGTCTTCACCAAGAGGGACAGCAGTATTTTGGCAGGTTTCGTCTTCAGAATATAAATATTCATCAGAACTGCTGGTCAATTAGCCAATCAGGCCTTCGAATAGGTACAGAGCCCAGAGAGTCAGAGGTTTTCGTTGGATCTTACAGCCCACCAGACTACTGGTAGCCATCCCCATGTAACGTAATACAAAACTCTCTTTCGGGAGAGACTAACTCAACGGGCCGAACAAAAGTGTTCCTTTCTGGGAGGAAGCTTATAACGAAAATAGCGTCAAATAGCTGGTCTTACCTCAGATAATGTCAAAAAACCACGACTGTCATCATTCATTCACTATGCGAACTTCGCTTAAAACTCTTGCACCACAGGAATTTTATCCGAGGTGGTCAAAACAATCTAACTGAGAAGGCTCGACGCATTCTTACGCTTCGTCTGCCTCGGTTTTAATCATGTTTCCCTCGGAAACTGCCTGCACAGTGGTGGCGAATTTCGGAACAGTTACGACCCTTCTCCTGAAACGGGCGAACCCGATCTCGTTGTGCCCATCACGGGGAAGCCTAAAATGTTCACATGGCGGACAGTTTCGAAGGAGTAACTTGAAGGGCATTCAACTATGGTGTGAAGCGGCTTCGGTGTCACCTGACATGAAGCCATTGCGACAGCTTTCAAAGTCATATTAACCTAGGCCAGTTCCCTCACTTCTTCAGTCAAACAGGAACCACCAGAAGTGACTGATCTTACTCAGAAACATTCCTTATTAATGAGTAAATCAGTATGAGTGGACTCGTTTACCTCGTACCCAGACGCGTTTTAACAAGCTATAAAATGCCGCAGTTGCGCCCATACGGAAATGGATGATGTTTCGGAACTATGTAAACCTGAGTACATCAATGCCATTTAGGACGCTTATGAGCTACATCGATACGGCGAAGTCATCCTACTACGGTGATGTATAGTCGGCGAGAATCTCCGAAAGTCCAAAGCCAAACTCGCATTCGCATTGCTTTCCAGAGTGGTTTACAGAGAGACAGGCTACCGTCCTTCGCGCCACTTGGGTTCCCTGTGAACGGTCTCTATTCCTGACGGACTACTGTACGCACCACCTTAACTCAGGACTCATCTTCGGAGCTTCTAACTCTATCACCAGGTCATGGGCTGAAGAAAAAGGTGGACGAACTGGATAACGGGCATAACAATGTGGTAACCATGTGTCAAACAAGGTGGGAGGAAGACTCACCGATCGTGTGTGTCGGATACAGTGTCTACGTGGTATGTAAACAATTCTTTGAGATCGCCCAGAC